CTGGTGGCAGTAACTAGGTCACGGTGGAAAATTCCGCTATGTCAGAACCCAATAACTACATGCCACTGTAATGGAAAATTACAGCTTAGAAAAAGTTCCCGCCAACTTTATGCAAACACACACACCACCGTTGTCTGGTTCCAAATTATTCATATTTGGCGACTAGTGATTGGCTTGCTAGCCATATAAAAGTTAAAGCAGTTTCCGCCCACGTTGGAGAACTCGGTGCACATCTCGGAGTGAACCTGGCCGACTGATCACCCACCAACGACTCCCCGTCACTGACCCTCCCGACGTACCCCCGACCCCGGTACCGCAGCAAGCCGATTACGAAAACTTCGTCCCGGTTCTCTTGCATTTTAAGAGAGTCTTTGCTACGTTTGTAACTGCAACTAAGCCAGTCAACTCTGCCTGTGCCCATACATCAGTGGCGTAAGTAAACAATCTATTTGTTACCAATACGCATCCGTGCCTAATTCCACTCCACTCGTCAAAGTACCCACCTGACATTCCGGGCTCCCGGCCAGGACCCAGCAGCCAGTCGGCCACCACAGGCATGAGAAGTGGTGGTACTCTGAGCAACAGAGATCATGACCTGATAAGGTTCACCATCCACTGTAAGACTGGGAAATCAGTCAGCAGAGCAGAAGGCCTATATTTCAGGAAGGCAGATTTTGGCAGGCTCAAAAAGAGGCTAGTTGAAGAGGCTCTCTGCAACCAGCAAGTGGACGATTTGGGAGTTCAGGAACCCTGGTGCTTCCGTAAGGAGGCATTTCTCACAGCTCAAAAACAGGCCATCCCCACATGAACAAAAAGCAGGAAAGGAGCCAAAAAACCCACTTGGTTCAACAAGGATATTATGGAGCTATTGGAAAAGAAAGAAGAAACATAAAAGCAATGGAGGAATGGATCAGCTAACAGAGAGGAATACACCTGTATCGCCAGGGCCTGCAGATACGAGACATGGAAAGCTAAGGCAGGCATGGAGATCAAGCTGGCAACCAGCATAAAAGACAACAAAAAGACCTTCTACAGATACATAGGGAGCAAGAAAAAAAAATCAGGATCCACTATGGGACCCCTACTGAATGCTCAGGGGCAGCCCACAGTTGACGCCCGTGAATGAAAAGGAAGAACTCCTAAATACATACTTCATGTCGGTATTTCTGGAACCAAATGGGAGCTGTTTGCCTAACCAGAGGCCCAGGGAATGTGGGGAAGACAACAGATTACATGGAATCAGTCCTGAACAGATGAGGGATCTCCTGCACCTGGATACTTTCAAGTCTGCTGGGCCAGATGACCTTCACCCGAGAGTCCTAAAAGAACTTGCTGAGCTTAAAGCAGCACCACTGACAAGGCTGTTTGAAGAATCATGGAACTCGGGAGTGGTCCTGGACGACTGGAAGAAGGCCCATCTTTAAGAAAGAGAAGAGGGATGACCTGGCAAACTACAGACAGGTCAGCCTGACTTCAGTCCTGGGTAAAATCTTTGAAAAATGTGTTAAGGAGGCCATCAATAACAAGCTGGCAACTGAAGGGGTGTTACAAAGCAACCAGCGGTAGATCACGCCTGACTAACCTAGTGTCCTTCTATGACAGGGGTGGGCAAAATGCGGCCTGTGGGCCAGATGCGGCCCACCAGGCCATTCTATCTGGCCCACGGGGCCCCTAAAAAATTTAGAAAATTAATACATATCTGCTCCTGGTTGCCTGTCATGCAGCCCTCAATGGCTTGCCAAAACTCTGTAAGCGGCCCTCCACCTGAAATAATTGCCCGCCCCTGCTCTACGACCAGGTAACTGGCCATCTGGATGAGGGACATGAGGTTGACATCATTTACTTCAACTTCAGTAAAGCCTTTGACTCTGTTTTGCAAAAGATTCTCTCAATTAAACTGGAGGGTACTGGTCTGGAACTGCCTATAGTGAGGTGGGTGGAAAACAGGCTTAGAGGCCACTACCAGAGAGTTGTAATAGATGGGTTGGTCTCATCCTGGAGGCCCATCTCCAGTGGTGTTCCCCAGGGACCTGTGCTCTTTAATATATTTATGAATGGCTTGGATGAGGGGATGGAAAAAGCTCAATGATTAAGTTCACAGATCTCACCTAATCTAACCCCTGCTACTGAAGGAGCCTTGGACACTGATAACACCCTGGTCTCTCCCCCTTTTTTCCTCTGGTCCACATAGTTTTTGAAGGACTGAAATATTTTGTGTAAAGGCTTAGGCTTGTTATAGGGAATTTGGGTGTTGCTTTAATGACTTGCTGCATACAGCTGGTTAGGCCAAATGACAGATCTCTTAATTTCTGTGAAATTGCTGAAATTGGACACTTATATTAATAGGTATATTTCTCTTCTGACATTTGAAGAATGGTATCTAATACAGCAGGTATTGTTAAGGAAAATGACTCCTGTAAGATCATTATGCATCAGTTGGAAACTCATATGATCATCATCCTGGGAAAGCAAACCAGCAAGGCAGGCACTAGAATTAGTAAATGGTGAGAATGTGATCTCCAAGGGTAGGGCAGAAGTCAGAACAGACAACTCCCACAAATACAAATGACAGCACAGAACCCAGTGGCACATACTTTAAAGATGGAAAGGAAGGGACAAGATGAAAGTGGTAGGATTAGAATAGAAGGCGCTATAGCTGTCCTAGGCCTTGTCTCTAGGGCAGTATGTGAGAATCAAGAAGTCACTGTGAAAGAGGTATCATTCCAGAGGCAATGTGAGAACGGTAGTGGGAAGAGTGAGATTCAAAGAAACAGAGGAAGGAAACATCACATCACAAAGGGTAGCACATTTATTTGTGAAGGACTGGGGAATGAAGATTAGACTAGCTAATAAAGAACTGGTGACAGTGTAACAAAAAGTAAGGCTAGCCATGCTTGTTACATTATAAAGACCTAAGGTCCAGAAAATAGCTCACTTGACTATGCTCAGTACGATCTTTTCCTTTTGTATTGCAATCATGGAAATTATGCTTTGATTCAAATGCATCATGACAGTACATTTTAACTCACATGAGACAGGTTGATCTCCTGAGATGAGAAGGCATGGGCATGGGATGCCATTATATTACTTGAAATATGTTTGTTACATCCTTTTAAAAAAAGCTATAAAATGATGAGGGGAATGAGTGCACTTAGTATTTGGTCCCTATTTTCTAGCCTTAAGACTGCTTGAACTAAGTATGTTTAGCAAGATTTTATGAAATGAGAAACATGTTTTAAACCATTCATCAGAGGTTAGCTACATTAATTATTAGAAACCATACCACCTTTCAAATCAAAGTATTTTAAAAATAAAGATAAAAATCCTGTTTCCATGGTTACCACAGAACATCCCCAGGTTCTGTTCTTTCCTCCATACCTATCTACATTTCTTTAAAAAATATGCTTAAGATCATTTGAAATGTTTTATAATCACTCAGACACTTGTATTAATTTTTAAGTTATTGTAATGTAAATATAACAATACATATTTGATAGAAAGAACAGATAAAACAGTCCATACAAAATCATCAATTGATATGAATGAAGTACCCTGAGTATAGAAAGTGAAAGGGAAATATTAATAATACAGATTTAGCCTCTATCTCCAAAAATAAGGGGGATGTGGAAAGGAGACATTCCTTCTCCACAAAAGACCCTATGTTTGGGTCCGCATGAGATATCCTATCTAGCCATCACTCATAAACCCTACACTATCACTTCTCACTTTTCCTTCCTTTCACTCCCTTCATGGAAAATTGAAAATGGAGATTTGAATGGAATTTAAAAGGCACAAGGAACATTTTTTTAAAGGACTTTCTGACCAATCCTGTAAAACTATTTTGGTTTGTTACATTCCACAGAGTTTTTAGAGCACAGTAATAAAACAATAAGAGTTTGTGAATATTTTTTCTTTTGACATCCTTTGTGATTCAGTTGCGAGAAGCAGCATTTAACAGTAAATGAAAAAAATCCTCTGAAATTTTGCCTACTTATGGCCATCAAAACATACTCTGTTGTTTAATCCTTTTTAAATCAGTTAAATGAGATGACAAGTGGATGTGTCAAAAGGATTAGAAACAGGACCTCCTGCACAGTTTGGGCATCTGCTCATATATGCCCTAAGCTGACCATTATGTGCACATTGTTTAAAGGCCTATGAGAAATGAGCTGATGGGTCTAGTTGAGCTTCTACTGAACAAATATTCACAATGTAGAACTACAATTAGTGCTTTTGTTAGCTGCCTCACTTTGAACAGGGATGAAATAACTGAAGTACATCTTGAGCACTAGATTGGGGTCTTTCTAGGTTGGGGGTAAGGCAAAGTGGGAGGCAAGCCTTCTCTTCTACTGCTGATGTGACCAAACTTCTGCTCTAGAGGCCTGAAGCTTTCAACACCGCTTTGTGACAAACAACTTTCAATTTCACTTATGAAAAGGATAGGAATAAGAAAGCGAAATGCTTTTGATAAGAGGTTTTGGGTGGCCATAATCATTTTAACACATCTTTTTACACACTCCTCCCTAGTTATTATATACCCAAGAGCAAACCACGCTTTGTAAGCTGTAAAAGAACTACTTTCAAAATGAAAATACTTTAAAAACATAATTGAGGGCTCAAATAGAGTTTCATTTTAGAGAAACCAAAAAAAGGAATGCACTGTACATCTGGTATATTTTATGGTTTTAATATTCTCAGTCCATTAGGAATGCTGCCAAATGTACGTTAAAATCAAAATGAAGGGACATGATATGCTTCCTTTTGAAAAATACTAAAATGGCATTCAGTGAAGCAAAAATTAAGATAAAGCACAGAACAGCACTTCTCTTTCTTTGCCCTTAATCCACTCTAACACTTACAACATGAGCTGTTCATGTAACCAGTCCCTGTATGGGAGCATTGCACACCATCTTTCTACAACCATCTCTTGAACTTCTACGGTTTCTATTTGCCTCCAATAAACTTCATTAGAGAAAAACATCTGTCTTGCTGCTACTTACTTTCTTTTCCTTTCTCTTTATTTTTGAGCTGCTGTAGTTTCTGTTCTCTATGCTGCTTCTCTAGCTCCTGCTCCTGTCGGTGTTGTTCCAACTTCCTCTGGTGCTCCAAGAGTTCTTGCTGATGTTTCATTGCTAGCATCTCCTGCTGTTGCTACAGAAAAGGGAAAAGAAAATGGAGCAAATGAACACACACTGACTACCAAAAACTTTCATTTCATAATTCACTAAATAGTGGCTGTTATAAAATTGATACTGATGCTTAATTCATAAATACAAACAATCAAGCAAACAAAACCCCCCAAAAACGACATATTTTCCCTTCTGCAAAAGGTTCCTGTATTAGGATGTTCCTGTATCACTCCCTTCAACCTTATTCCCAGGTGAAAACAATATGCATGCTGAGATGTAGCTAGTATGCCTGTGCAAATAGGGAAGTAATTGATTCGGATTCGGAGGACAATGACTCGACTCGGAGATTCGGATCACTGTCCCAAATCGATTCAGCCAAATCGGCTTCAGAAGATTTGGCGCCGATTTGGAGAGATTCAGCCATATACTATAAGGGGAATCATTGAAATACTTTTAACTTTGTCATTTTTTGGCAGATTAACAGCAAGGATGGTAGCCTCTTCTGAGGGCACGAAGCCTGCCAAGTTTCAAGGAGATAGGTGCATGGGTTTCTGGGAAACTGTACCTCATACTGCTGAAAGCAAAACTTGTGTCACCTGTGTGTTAAGGCAGATTTGGATGAAAACAGCAGGGATGGTAGCCTGTAACAGGGGGCTTTCCCAGTGCTAGTCAGATCTCTGCCTGCCCACCTGTTTCTGGGCCAGCCACCTGCCCCTCTTCTGCTCAAGCAGAAATAGTTCACAAAAGGGACAGAAAGGCTGAAGACAGAGACTTATGTGCTGTTTCTAAGTCCCTCCCACAGAACACGGATTGGAAGGGGACTCAGGGAAAGATCAGTCACTGGCCGGGTATAGATGTCAGTCTTTCCCCCCCTGCTTCTTCTCAGTTTCTGTTCCCCTGAAAGACTGCCTTCCAAATCTCCGAAACTTTTCCTGAATCTATTCTGAATTGATTTGGAAGGTTTTTTTGGTCTCCCGATTCCATTCAGATCTGGTGATTCAGCCTCCAAATCAATCCAAATCTTCTCCGAATCGAATCAGTGACCGAAGTTTCACACACCCCTAGCAGCTAGCCCCTTGCTCATATGGTGCAGGAAGCTTCTGACCTATCCTTCATGCCCTGAGCTGAGACTAGTTACAAAGTCCTGCTACTTATGAGCATCTAAACATTTTGCCTAAATGTCATTTGTCTTCCCTAACTTGGTAATAAGCCCTCAAAATGTTTCAGTTGCAATCCACATAGTTATTGTCCCCACATCTACAGAAGTGAGGACAATGACTACACCCAGGAAAGTATCGTACCAGAGTCTTATTGTCTTCAAGAACTGATGGTGTGGGGAGCATCTTCTGCAGCTAAAAAGGGGCTAAGAGCTCCAAGACAAATAGGTTCCCAAACCAATTAATCACAGGCACTGCAGGCAGGTTATTATTACTTATACCACACCAAATTGTCATAATTATTTTAACATTATTCCTTCATGGAATTATGTCTTAAGGATACAAGAACAAACATTTAACTGAGGCCCTGGACACACAAGGGGAATTCAAGCATGAAATCCAGGACTGCATTGATGTGATGCATCAGAACTAAATGAAGAGTAGGCCAGTGCAATCTACCCTCTAATGTACAGCAAACTGCCTTAGTGAAAGTCCATTTTTGTGCTGAAACTATAGGCGTTTTCACACGTGCCGTGGGACGTGGCACTGGGCACTTTAATTAGTGAGCCGGGCTAATTATAAGTGCTTGTATATCCCGTGCATCATGGCACTGCATTACACACTTGTACTCTGTACCCAATATCAATACAGTTACACTGATAGAAAGTTCTCTTAATTTAGTCTGGATCTCACCTCACTGTTTTCTTGCTATTGTGCATTTTTAACTAAGGCACAAACATCTGTAAGTGTTCTTAAAACAAAGTATTTTAATGGATCATTACACACAAAAAAGTCTATGTTAAAGAAATATCACTGGAGTTACAACACCAAGCACTCGGAAGTTAGGTAATGCCAGAATTAAGGTGGTCGGTCTCTGCAAACTGAATTCAGTTCCCATGTGTGCACTTTATGACAATCTTTAGTTATGCAACCACATACCATTTTCCCACATTGTCTTAGCACAGAGCAGGAACCTTTTGCTCAGGGAATGGGGCAACTATTCAAATTTTATTTTATTTTCCTCTTAACTCATGCCCTTATTTACTGCATAACAGCCACACCCAAAATTAACTGCAGGATGTTTTATTTCCTTTCCAGCTTTTCTGTGGTATTCATCACTACTATGTACATCTAACAAAACATGAATATGACTTTGGAACAGCCTTCTAAAGTAAGTTATTCCCCCACCCAGCTGCTCCTTGCACCTTTACAAAACGGGATGATCCTAGTATGGGGAAAGCTTGGGGAGCAGTGACTGCTCCAATCCTCCTGTTCCAGGGGGAAGGGGGACCTAAGGCCCCTGCGCATCCCTCAGACCACAGTGGATTGCTCCTCTGCTTGGCTCATGGTAGCTGGATCATGTACCAAGCAGCCAACAGGAGTGCAATCTGCCTAGCCAGTGTCCTGCTGGGTCAGGCCAAGATAGCAGCTCTGAAAAGCTGTACAAACTAGCTCCCAGGTGCTTGCTCTGATGCCACCCTCAAACTCTTCCACTTCCTGGTCTAGAAGCAAGCCACATTTGAATTGGGACACTTCACCTTGCAACAAAGTGTGCACCAATGTGTCATGCTGAGCCATCAGAGGGACACTCCGCAAGGTGGAAGACAGACAACTGGTCCTATATGTATAACTCCAGAAGAGGCGTTGCGGAGGGGGTTTCAGTCTCTTGTGACATGGTATTTCTTGTTGCTGTCAAGCATCTCATGCTTGGCTCGGGACACACACACACACACACACACACATCTGCACTTTCACTACTTGTTTTTAATTTTCATATAATAAAAGTTTAAAAAGTCAAAAAAGTCTCATGCACATGCACTTTGCCAGATAGTCTCCTAGTAACTGAGTTACAGCCAATCCAAGGGAAACCTCTCAGACTGCATAATTTAGACCTGCTAAGGCTTTGTCAAGTGGCCCAGTGTTTTGGGTAATAGTCATTCTTTCCAGAATTACCGCAAGAAGATTTAACTGTTTTTTCCCCAGTTAGGTTCATAGAAGGGGACTTAGCACACCCATTAGCTTTGACTAAGCCTGTGCTTCTCTACAGACTGAAAACCTACTCAATGGCAGCCACTAATACACATCACCCATAACACTACTACAACCTCATTTTACAGATGGGGAAACTGAAATAATGGCAGATTTATCTATCCATGGCCATAGAGCTAGTAGCATAAACAGGGTTAGCAACAAAATTCTCCTGAGGCCTGGCCCTTCATTCTGCTGTGCTTACAAGGCTGAGCATCTATAGAGTCCAGTGTAAGTGTTAGGCACCTACAGCAGTGATTCTCAAACAGGGTGCCACAATGACCCTTTGTGTTACAATAGTTTCCCCAGAAGCACACCATTCCTCTAGGCCACCACTGCTGTCCAACTGGTGATCAGAGCAGCTTCAGGCACCACAATGACAAGCTGCACGTCAAGAAACCCTGTGGTCCAGGTCTGACTTGTGGGACCAAATGAGTTGAACACCCCTACTCTAGGCCAAATGCAAATGGCTTTTCATGGGACCACCAAAATATACCTCTCTGATAAGGGCATTAGCACTTTGCCAAATGTAAAGTTCCTACTGAAAATAATGCAAACAACTTAAAAATGGGGTTTACTACCCCTTCTTCCTAGGGCACATCCAGATTTCATCTCTCCATCGTCTGTGAAGAATGTTACAAGTAGTTTAATTATATATTTATATGATTATGCCCCTAGATTACTAAGAATGCAGTGGCACGTTTACTTAGTGACTTGAGCTACCATGATCATGTTACTCCCTCACTGCATTCTTTACATTGGCAGCTTATAAACTAGCAGATTGATTTTAAATTGGCACGGCTGACTTCTAAAATCCTTAGTACAGTGTAGGTCCTGGCAAAAGAAGAGACTTCTTCTTGGAGCCTTAACCTAAAGGATATCTGTGCTCCAATACCACCCGCTGTTATAAGTTCACATCACCTGTTCCTAAGTGAGAGGGGATCAGGCCAAAGCTGTCCTTGTTACTAAAGGTATCACACTTATTCTTCCCACAAAGTCTCTCTTATTGAATCTTGGTCCAGTATTAGAAAGTGTATAGCACCTTTTTACAAATAACAAAAAGTTATCTGCATAGCTTTTGAAATAATTGGACCACTTCAGCCATTTGGTTTTTGCTTTCTTCTTCTCCTTTATATACATTTGCTTTCCTTAAGTTTGACAGTGGTCTCCCATTAATTTAAGTTGCACTAGTAACATTTAAAGCAGTAAGGGGCATATTATAAAATAATTTCAACAACTGCACGTGGCCATGTGAAAAAAAGTCACCTGTATTCAGCCTTCTGAAATCCCTGACACAGTAAATGTTCCTCCATTATTTTTTGCTAAAATTTAAAGCATATTTAACATTGTGTTGTAAAACTCATGTTACATATATATTCCCTGCAAATCCAGTGGTCTTTTCATACCACAATTTCATTCCATTTCAACAAAAGGCAATTTAGGATATAATCACCCACAGAAATAAGAACTCTGGAAGCCTAATTTTTCTGTTTTGTAATTAAGCCACAGCATCAACTAACACTTCTCCATTTGGAGAAGAAGTATCATTACAGACTTCCAACAAGTCCACCACATGGTGGCTTTTATAACATAGCCACAAAAATTATGTAAATCAACAATATTTAATGCACAATATGTTAAAACAGGTTTTGTTATTTTTCTGAAAACAGGGGCTTTTTTCCCCATCTGCAGTCTCCTAGACTAAGTGTGTTATGCTTCTTGCAATGGTTTACATACATTAAAAAGCTTTAGAAGGAACTGTGCTTTCATTAACATTTGTAGTGAAATGTAAATGAACAAGAAAAAAGTGAAAACAGATTTGTACTGGACTGCTTAT